AGGAGGAGACTTGGGTGAGAACAAATAATGAGAGAAAGATAAAGATAGAATGGAGAGAAGACGTGGGTAGCTGGAAGCCTGATGTTTGGATGGGAGCTACATAGATCTGAGCCATTGATATATACTCATGATTGATATAGACCATTGATTTAAAATGTATCTATGATACATTTTATATATTTTCAAAAATCGTTTTGTTTTATTATATAGATATATACCGTTGGGTGTGCCACGGCATTGGACAGTGATCACGTTGTGTTACCGCCACCCCTTTCCCGCCAAAATCCCTGATTTCATTTCAGCATTACACTACCACTCCCTCATCGATCGATCAAGAAAAGAGTGAAATGCGATTTGATTAATTTGGTTGGAAATTCGATTTCAATTACGTGAACAAAGAGTTGAAAGAAGTTGAAAGGCTGGCTGTTGAGTTCTGCTGCTGCTAGGGATTGCGTTCTTAGTTATTTTTGTTGCCTTTCAAGTTGCGAACAGGAGTCTCATCAGAGGTTTCACATTCTTTGTTTAATTACATCTCTTTCTGTATGCCCGTGGTTTTGAAGTTTAATCCACATTTTCTCTGATTCATATGGAAACTTCTTTGAGCTTGTATTCACAATTTGGGTTTACAAAATACCTGCTTACCAATCAAGCATGCAACAAAATTTCCCCCTTTGAATCTGTATTTACTGAATTTAAGCTTTGTTTGGTTGAAAGATTTGATGGGAGAAATAAAAAGAAAAAAAGAAATGCAATTTTATTTTTTGTTTGGTTATAATGAAAAACACAACCGAAAAAAGTGAGAGGAAAATATAATTTACTTTTTATCTTTTAAGTTCATTGCCTATTTTTGGAAGTAGGTGAAAAGTAATTTTTTAATGTTTTTTAAACGTATAAAAAAATAGAGATGATGTGAATTAAAAAAGCAAAAAAAAAAAAAAACTTTTAACCAACTTGCCACAATAGTCTTTTTTTTATTTTTAAACTCAACCAAATATAACTTGAAATTTGAATCTTATCAATTCTTTTCCATTTTCTTTCTATTTTCCTTTCTTTTTCCATTTCCTTCATCAAATTTTCCAATCAAATACAATTTTAGGGTTCCAACTTCATTAGTGAATTGAAAGATTTAGATTGTTTTAACTTAAAAAATAAGAACCCACTCTCTCCCTTTTGTTTTTATACGCTTGCCCTGGATTTATACATACATATATAATATCTATTATTTAAAAGTTAAAACACACAATATGCATTAGGTTGTTGTATAGTATAAAATCTATATATTAATTAGGTATTTTAGTTTTTCTTTGAGTACTTCTAATTTTGATTTTTTCTTCCAGATTTAATCTGTTTTTGATAGAATTTTTTGCATTTACATTTGGATTATTGTTCAGACAATCAACCTGAGTTCCGGATCACTTGAAAATGGGACTTGCTTAGCTTAAGCACACATACGTTGAGCTCCTCAGATATCTCTCTACGACTACAAAGAAAACAAGTTGTCGAACTGGCATGAGCTCAATTTAATAAACAAACCGAGCACGAGCACGAGCACGAGCAATGTGTTTGTTCATTTCATAAGTGAACCGAGCACAAGCTCAATTTTTGGGTTTGCCTAGTAAACGAGCCAAGCTTGCAAGAGCAACATAGAGCTCTGCTCATCTGTAACCCTACATATATTTTTTTTTTTATCTTCTTTTTTTTTTTGTTTTGGGGGGGGAGTAAACATGATTTTCTACAGTAACAGAAAGAAAAGTAAAACAAAATAAATATATCAAAACATAATTATTGCAAATTTGCAATATTCGATATAGTTATTTGTTTTTGACATTCTTCAAAAGATTAAGCTTAATTATTGTAACAAACAATGTGAGTAAGCAGACACGATGTCCACAACTTCAAAATATCTCGCAGTTCTTTTCTCTGACTTGCGAGAATCGTCTACCAACAATATTTTGTGGTTTTGCTGTCCAAATACAATTTGTATATTCCTGAGGCAACACTAACAAAGAATGGTGCTTACACCTAAACTATAATTTGAAGTTAGAAATGTATAATATCTAGACTTACAGAGAATTGGCTTTTATGGAATGGTTTGATTGGGTGAACCAGAAGCCTGCACCAAATATAAGCGACAACACGGTGTTCCATCATCAGGGTGAGTTTGGAGTGATCTGGGTAAGCTTCGAAGCTTGTTGAACAGGTTTAGTGGATCATGCAGCAGACCAAAATGAGCATCGGGATCACCAATTTGTGAAAGCTTAACATCAGAAAATCCTAGGGATGGCAGGAGATGATCGGGCCAATCGCTATAGAAATGAAAAACGGAGCTGGAGAGTGTGGTCGATGGCTTGTTCATGAAGTCTGCTAAGAGGACTGTCTGCGTAAGAGTGCAATTATTAGCTATGATCTTCAATACTTCCATGGCATGTGAGTGGGAGAGGTAGTAAAGAATGCCTTCGAGAACCCAGACTGTATTCTTCTCTGGGTCAAATCCAGATATCTGAAGCTTTTGAAGCCAGTCTTTGTCTCTGATATCAGCTGCCACTCTGTTCAGAGACTTTGCTGTCATCATCACATGTTGATGATCATTTGTTGATTCTGTTGCTGCCTGAAGAATAGTTGTTTTTGTTTGCAACACTTCAGGAAGGTCAACCTCAAAAACATTGCTTTCTTTCAAGCAACTCAATCGATACGCCCTTGCATCCATTCCTGCAATGTAAGTAACCGCATTCCGCTCAAAACTTGGTTTGCACATGGAATTTTACTTGGGAATTTAAAATCATGTTTTAATTAGAAAACATAAATCTTCTAAATTGGGGAATTTAGGGGCTTTTATTGAAGGAAGACAGAAGTGCACTCATCAGATATGCAAAATTTAAATTGACCAAAACATCCCAAGTTTTGATTGTGCACATGCTTGAATTAATTATTCTCAAGGATTTGTCATGCATATTTTGCTCGATTCAATGTCTACACTGTGTGATAGCAGAGCCTTTCTAGAGCCGTCTTTTTTTTTCTTTTTTCTTTTTTTCCAAAAACAGGGATTCCTTGTCAATGCACATGATTTGTTCTGCTGTAGAGAGAGTAAACACCTATTACTTTATACTCGGTAAAAGTTGTATTTGCTTCGCAAGCACGGTGAACTTTAAGTTCATGCTTACGAATTATGGTAAGTGCTTTTGTGGCTTTTTGCCTGTGTTGTAGTTTACTCGGGAGATTAGCAGGAGATTACTGTTGGAAAAATCCGCAGACGCAACGGAGACACTGATATGGATTCTGAATTCTGGGATGAGTGGCCTGGACCACTGCCTATTTATAGGCCTGGCTGCACCCCTCTGAATGGGTGTGGCAACCCTTATGAATCATGTTGTGCCCATCAAAATGCCACATAACCAACTGCCCAAATCAGACGGTGCAATGCACTGTCCTTATGGTTACTTCTCTACAATTCCATATTCATAAGAATATTCTATGTAGCACTTTATTGCATGCTTCAACTTTTCCTCTCTTTCCATTGTGGGGACAAGCTCCCAAACTTTCCAAATGTAAATAAGGAAGATTTTGAAAACAACAATGCTAAGTATCATGAAAAACTTTTCATGAAAATAATCATGAAAGCTTTGTGACCCTTAGATTATAAATAAAGCACCACACACTAATCAAAGTAATCCAAGGATCATAAATCTTTCATGATCATTTTCATAAAAAAAATTTCATAATCCTTAACTTTTCTCTTTTGAAAATACCCAAAAACTACGACTTTAATTTTAGAAAATTTTCCAACAATTACACAGCATTCTTTTTGCTGACTATCCATGTTCCATGAAGGGGTAGACATGTACCTCAATTTGACACAATTTTTTGGATACTTTGCCCGCATTTTTTTCGTAACAGGTACTCTGGCTGCATTTTTTTTTTTTCTCTTAACAGACTCTGGCTGCATTTTTTAAAATTTAATTTAATTTTTTTTAATAAAAGAGATACTTTGGCTGCATTTGTTCAAGCTATTGCAGTACACAACAAGATAGGTACAGAAATGCAAGAAGAATTGGGGTAACGAATTACCAACCTGCGCCAAGAAGAACAACCTGTGCTGCTCTGCCATTAAAAGAACTGAGAGCAGCTTCAATTTTCTCATCAAACCACAGGGTTCGAACAGCAAGCATGACTCCAGAGACTTCCCTAGCATTGCTGTGGCGATCTTTCTTTATCTTTTCGTAAAGGCTTCTCAGGAATGGTTCTCCTGCGAGTAACTCTGCATGTGGATCATGGATCACATGCTTCCACAGAGCCCTCCCTGCTGCTGTCTGGCACGCTGACCTTCGAAGTGAATCCCACTCAGTTTCAATAGCTTCATGGAGTCCTCTCACCGTGTCTGTGAATAACAAGTCCGGTAACTTCAGTTCTGGCCATGCCCGCTCTTCGGGCTTGCCATTCTGCTCTTCTGACATGGTTCTTAGCTTTAACACAGATCTTGAAAGAGTAATAGAAGGAAAAAAGTTCAGAGATAATGCATGCATTATATATAGTAATTTTTAATTATTTGTTTTCTGTAGTTTCATTTGATATATAATAGAGAGGGTGGTTGAAGATAAGGAAAGATAGCCACACAGATGACTAACGTCTGAGAGAACAGATCAATCGTATCTCGGCTTTCTCTGCTTTGAAATGAAAAGGGAAGGCTGGGAGGTAATGTTGTGGAGTCCAGGACTACCACCAATTTCATGTGCTTGCCTTTCTATCTCTCTCTAACCTGTCTTTTTAAGTGTAAAAAGGGTAACCAAGGATGGCTGATGGCTCCCACTGGAATTGGTGCATTATGTGTGGTTCCTACCTACTTGGTCCAGTCCAAGTGTTATTACATTGTCTCTGTTGATCTGTTTTTGGAGTATCTAATTTTTTGTTTTGGTGTTGCAGGAGAGCTACATCCCAGGATAAATAGTCTCTGCTTCACTGTGGCTAGTGTTGGGTGGCTTCAGTTAGAGCTGTCATTATTAGGTGATTCTTCAGCAAGTTTCTGTGGGAATTTTGCACCAATGTGAAAGAATGGCATTTTGCTGAATTCAAGAGGTGAATTTTACCACCCCATCCTTTTTTCTTCTTTTCACTTCTACTTTGATTAAAATTTATCCTTCACTTATTTGTAATTGTCTTGGGTCCCAAATCTCGCTGTTCTGTAATTTTTCCAATAAATTTTCCTTTGGTTGGGGGTAGCATTTACCCTCCCATTTTCTTCTTGCAAGGCCAGAGAATTAGGGGAGTTGAAACCCTAAATTAGTGTTGACTACCCCTTTGCCTTAAAATTAGTGCAAAAAATGATTGAGAGAGAGTAATTATGTCTATGTTGAGTTAGCCTTTTGACTTTTAATAACATAGTGCCATGCACATGCAATAAACTCGTTTAAAATTATAATATGAATTTGATATTATTTTTTCTAATAATATACATGTAAATCATATGAATAATTATGTACAATGAAAAATGTAATGTTAACATATTTGATAAATAAAATATATGTGCATTAAAATATATACACATCTTTTAAAAAATGCAATATTTACTCATCTTAACTAAAAAAATTGTACAATAAAACTTCATATAAAATCTAAATTTGGTAACATGAGACCGGAGATCCTGCAAATTCTGCAAAAATATATAAATAAATAAGATATATGTAAAAATTAGTTTGCTAATAATACACATTGATTAAATTAAAATTTTACGTTTTTAAAGTGAGCTATAATTATACATATGCATATTTTAACTAATAGGCTACAAAAGGTAATTATTTTGTTAATTTTTTATAAACAAAATAAAAAAATTAAAAACTTACATATCGACATAGATTGGCATAGTCCATATCAAATGTCATGTTCAATAATCTCTTCAAATTGTTTTGATGCAATTTTTGCCATAAATCTATGACAACATTAAATTACGAAAAATAAGATGGCATTGACAAAAAATTAAGTACGTAACTTTTGGTATACATACAAACCTATATGTAGATTACCTTGTAACAACGTTGCACATATATTTGTAAGCTTTCAATTTTTGTATCATTCGTTGCCTATAAAAATATTATATAAAAATATGTAAGAGGCAGTAATAGTATATTCACAATGCGACTCGTATACTCACAATATAATAAACTTTATATTTTTATGTAAGTGTTTTCATATGTTTGTTTTTATATTTTTATAATGCATATTATTTTAAGTACTAATCTCATTTTGTGGAGAATTAAATAAAATTGCACGTGAAAGAGATTACCTAGTAATGATGATCCAAAGCATGGACAACTTGAGATATGATTTAAAACAAACTGAATATAAATTTTTCAAACATTCGATTAAATATAAAAAAAAAATAGAATTAAAAATACTTACAATCAAAAGAGAAGCAGAAGATAAATACTAATAAAACACGACCGTAAAAGTTATTTGTTCTGACTATCACAAACTCATTACGTAATAAATATAAAAAAATCATATGAAATTTTAGGCCCACTGAATTCTTTCTTACCAAAAAAATACAGTTCAAAACAAACATATGAATAAAAAAAGGATTTTTTTTAGAATAGTTACAATAAAAAAGATTAGACACCTCCAATTTTCTTTGAATTTTGGCCAGCCATGGATTTTTCAAAATTTCATAAGATTTGGCCAAACTTTCATGAATTTTAACTAAAAAATTATACAACAAAAATTCGTATAAATAAATATAAAAAAATTGCATATAAATAAAAATAAAAATAAAAATTGAATAAAAAAATTACATATTTGATTTTTTTCAAGCATAAAAAAAGAAATTATATATTTGAAACATTACAAACTCATGCAATAGAATTCTTTTAGAATTATTCAAGTGTCTAGCATTACAAACTTAACATTCGTATAGAATACTTACAGTCAGAGCAAATAGGTGTCGATAGAGAATAATCCGAAAAGTTTATTCTAAACAACACAAAGTTGCAACCTACAAAAAATATAAACGAAGGAAAATAATAGTCAATTTTTTTCTCCAA